CACACATCTTCTTTTGACCCAGTCTTTGACAAGCTTATTTGTACAATGCTCTTGGTTGTTTGGTTGCTAGTTTGTTTGTGGAACTGAGTACCATCTTACATTAATAAGATAAAGGAGTCAACCCAGTCACACAGAGCTGTTTATCCTCAAATATCTTCAAAACCTTAAGTGTGAAATTACTCCAGATGGATTGTTTTGAACAAAATCACATTTATGAGATAAGCTAAAAATGCTTCCTACCCTCTACCCAGAATCCAGGCTGGTTTGGTCCTGCTGGTTCCTTTGTGACTGACAGCTGCAGAGGGCACTCTGTTCCGGCTCTGTAAATGTCAGCCCCACCCTCTAACCTAAACCAACAAGGGAAGGCTGCCCTGAGCTCTGCCTGGCACCATCTATCTTGTTCTCCAGGGACACAGACAGGTTCTTCAAGTAGACTGTTCTGTGTGGTACGGTCCAGGGAGAGTCAGGATGGTGAAATGTCAATCATTGAACATAGAGGTGACTTTCAGGCATCATCAGCTAGTGAATCATTCTCTGGGTAAATAGACAAATACCAGGGTTTGGTGAGGTTACTGGAGAAGTGAGATGCATTCCAGAATCCCAGATATAACCCATTGTTTGAACACTCTAGTGGGGTAATGCCCCTTGGGCCACAAAACTTTAAGGGCCCTTATGAGGTCATAGATTAATGTGATTGCGCAGGCTTGTACATAGACCTTATATGCCACATTCTTGTAATGACCTCAGAGGCCTGAACAGTGTGGTTCTGTCTGCAGTGTCTTCTCCTGGGAGAATTTTCTATCATCCTATATGAGAAGGCCCTTGGCTATGAACTCAGAACCTTGAGAAAGAAGTCAGGTATGGAGCAGTCCCTCCTAACATGGGACACAGAATCCTCAGACTTGACTTGAACCATATCGTGGGAAGGATGCTTGGAGATCCCAGGACCCAGCAAAGAAGGCTGGCCTAGACAGCTTCTCATGAAACTGCCTAGGCTAATTGTTCAAAGGTGCTGTGCCTCCTTTGTCTGGGGACCTGTGAGTGCTTCTGGTCTCACTAAGCCAACCTTGCCTCCTGCAACCTCTAGCTACTGTCATTGATATCACTGACTCCAGGGATTGGTTTTGTTTTGCTAGAATGTGAAATAGGCTGACCAAGTCTCTACTAATGGCTGATCAATTCTCTATGGAAACTTTTGTTCTTGTTACAACTCATTCCATCACACAATTTCGCCATAACACAGGATTTGAATTCCAAGCCAATTATTGCTGTTCTCAAACGTGACGCTGGCTGGCATTAGCATCTGGGCTTTTATGATCTGAACCATTCCCTGTACTATAATTATCCACCTTATCCTCCTATCCATCCATGTGGGAATGAAGGCAATAAAGGAAAGTCATCTGAGTATGCTCATGATTACTACAAAACCATCGAGCCTGGAATTCTATAGCCCTAGAACATATGTTTGTATGTATGTATTTATTTTAATTAATTAATTTGAGACAGGCTCTCACTCTATAGTCTAAGCTGACCTGGAATTCATGGCAATCCTCCTGCCTCACAAGCTCTCAAGTACTGAGGTTACAGGTGTGTGCCACCATACTCCGCGCCCTACAATGTTTAATTTCGTGTGCTTTGGTGGAGGCATTTGAACAGTTTCCTGGGAGCCTCTATGGAGAATTTTGTTTCAACACACAAGTGTTTACTAAGTGACTATTATTCTTATTTCAAAATGTATTATTTATTGGTTTATTCAATACATACCAATTCCTACTTTGTGCTTTATACCACAGTTACTGCTAGGGTTCAGCAGAGGCTGGGACACAGGAGGTCCTACTGTGATGGAAAGGAATTAAGAGAATTCATAGGCAATTGAAATGGTCTGTACCTTCCTGAGGTTTTACAATTTCTTTGAAACGACAGACAACTTCAGTTGCCAGAAACAATATAGGTTTCAGTAAGAAAATGGCTTTCATAGACAAGGGAACAAAGTATTGTTGGGTAGAAATGCCAGGGCAGTGTGTATGGAAAGCAGGCGTTACGGGAAGAGGGTTTAGGCTAGGTTTTCTAGACATTTAGTGTTGGGAGCAGGCTGATAGAATGTGATCTGGACATTTGAGAAGTCAGCTAGACTGTAATGATCATCAACTTGGCAGCGTGGTGTCTATTTCTGGTCTTAGAAGAGTTGCAAAAGTTGTATGCAGATATACAAGAAACTGTTCCTGCCTCACAGTGACGTCATCCTTGCAGGTAACAAATAGCAGCTGGACTCATTGGAGACTTTCTGTTCTGAAATTGACTTCATCATTGTTAACTTAATCTTTATAGAAACTGTATAAGGGTAGGTATTTCTGTCATCATGTCATGCCTGTCTTACAGATAAGGAACTTGAGATAAAAATCAGTAAGAAACTGGCCCAGAGCTGTATGGCTGACAGTGGATCCAAAAACTCCATTGTGCTGGCTTTAGAGCGCACATGCTTACCACTGTGCTGTACTGTTTCTCTAGCCTCCAGTTAAAAAGATGGTTGTATGGCTGGGGATGTGGTTCAGATGGTAGAGTGCTTGCCTAGCCCAGGGTTTGATCTTTAGCACCACCTAAAACCAGATGAGGTGATGCATGCCTATAATTCCAGGACTCAGGAGGTAGAGGCTGGAAGATCATAAGTTCAAGGTTATCCTTGACAATGTAGTGAGTTCCAGGCCAGCATGGTCTACATAGAGAGTTCCAGGTGAGACTCTATCTTTAAATTTAAAAAAAAAAAATTAAGTAAATCTGGAAAAGAAGGACAACGGTACGTTTTGGTAAATGTGTATCTACTATGGTATTATTATAGCATTGCCTAATTTCCATAATTAAAAAGCAGAAACTATTTTTAATTACTTTGGAGATTTTTATATTATCGTACTGTTAATGTCCAAAGACTTTATCTGGCTTATGCAGACAAAGGCCATGGGCTTCAATAAGCGATCACTGAAACTGTGGCTGTGAAGTAGTGATCCCTCTTCTCTATGTTAATGACTACTTTTCACCTAATCCACAAATATGATGGCCCTGTGTCCTCCCCTGACCCCTAAGATCAATAAGAATTGACCCTGCCAAGTGTATCTGCTAAAACAGCAAAATGTTCGAGTTAGAAGAGGTCACAGAGACCACGCCTTCCAAACTCTCATTTTTAACACCCATGGAAGATAAAGCTGGGGGAACTTAAGTGATTAGCTTCTGATTAAAGTGGAACATTAGGATACGACTTGTCCCCAAGCACAGAGCAGGTTCAGGGAAAACCAGTAATTAAAAGCCAGGGCTTCCTGAATGCTAGTGCGTTCCAGCTCCTGTCAGAAAGAGCTTGTGCGTCTAGGGCTACATCCCCACTGACTCCATGCCCATCTCTCCAGAGCCTCTCACTCCAAACATCACTGTGAATATGTTTACATGGCAAGTACCATGTTAGATGACTGGGATGTGAGATGAAGGAAATGGGACCAGCTTTTGGATATGTACAGGCCCATTCACTTAGTGTGTTGTTTCATATTCCTTGTAACCTACAAAAGACATCATAAGAAAACTGATTGGTCATACGCTGGAGAGATGGCTCAGCAGTTAAGAGCATTGGCCGCTCTTGCAGAGGACCTGGGTTCAATTCCCAGCACCCACATGGTGGCTAACAACCGTCCGTTAACTCCAGTTCCAGGGGATGTGATGCTCTCTCCTGATCTCCGCTGGCACTGCATGACACAAGCATGACACGAGTGCACTTATGCAGGCAATACACTCATACACATAAAAATAATAAGTAAAATATTTTTTTAAAAAAGAAAACTGGTCATTGTTTCACCTTCTCAGAGGTGCATTTGGATCTCTCTGGCACTAAAACCCATGCTTTGATGATCCAGAAGTAAAGGCCAGGCATTTCCCACTTGTAAGAAATGAGTCTCTAGGGGATGAGGTTATTGCTAGGTTTGTAGAGTGCTTTCCTAGCATGCATGAGGCCCTGGGTTCAATTTTGAGCACTGCATAAACCAACTGTGGCACATGCTGGAGGAATGAGAGCTGTGAGGACAGCCTGGACAATCACTCTCTTCTGACCTCTGTGGGCATTGCACAACACAGGTGCACTTATATACATCTAGGCAAAACACTCATACACCTAAAATTTAAAAATGAAATAAAAATATAAAACCAAAAGATTACATGAGTCTCTAAGATGCCACCTACTGCTGTGATCTGTGATAGCATACACGTCTCCTGGACAATTGGTGTCTGACATGTTTGCAAAGGATGAAGATAGTCTCAGAAAACATGACAAGTCCTCCCACACCACTGTTTGATTAACCATTGCCCACATCTCCCTACCTGACAAATCCTGAGGGGCATCTCAAAAGCTAAAATATTACTGTTCCAAGTCTGGAACACATCTGTCAACTGCCTCTGTTGTCGGTCATTCTGTAAGGTCTGGGGGTGTCTTTGGGACTCCAGCAGGTAAGGTCAATGAAAGGTGCTGGCCGATTAAGATTGGGGGCCTTTGGGAAGACTGAGCCTCATTCTCATTCAGACTGCAACACTATGTTGCCCATGCAGAGTACCTAGGCAGTCAGCTGGCAATTGGCGACCTCAGCTTTCCTCACCTGTAAGAAGTCTCTGTGCCTCTGCCTCCTCTGACAGCCTTATGATCTGGTAGAACACGTCCCCACAACCCTTCGAACTAACGTCCATTGTGTCTGTCTGTCTGTCTGTCTGTCTTTTGGATATGTTGCGAAGTTCCTGCCAGGCCCATTGGAGATGACTGACTTTTTAGATTGACTGTTCACTTTCTTGAGGTGTGTGTTGGATGGTTTGTACTCTTCCTACAAGCACTCTGTTCTCAGTGAAACAGTCTCCCCTTAACCAGCGTTCTGTTCCACTCTTGGTTTTGCGTGTGTGCATGCGCTAGTTTTTTTTCTTTCTAAAAGCAGTCATGAGCAGACAAGCTTAGAAAGGGTGTTCTCTTCATGTTGTTTCAGGGAAAATAGAGAAAGTCAAACCTCCTCCATCCCCCACAACTGAAGGTCCCAGCTTGCAGCCTGACTTAGCTCCCGAAGAGGCTGCCGGAACCCAGCGGCCCAAGAATCTGATGCAGACCCTCATGGAAGACTATGAGACACACAAATCTAAAAGGCGCGAGAGAATGGATGATAGTAGTGTAAGTTTTTCCTCCTTTCCTTTCACTTCTCTGAGAGTGACTGTCAGTGTGGTGTGTCTGTGTACTAGTTGAGGCATTTATCTGGTAAGCGTGCATTATGGTTCTGAATTTTCAAATGTTTGATTTAACATGCCTGGAGTTGGACTTGGTCCACTTTGTATCTCAAAATTTCTTTCTGCTAAGTCCAGTTTGAGGCAGTGGGTAAGGCTGGTACGTGAGAGGGTGGATGTGGAGGAAGATAACGTCCAGGGCAATTGAGGGAGGAACTGGGTGCAAGCTCTCCGGAAGCATCGTCAGGGAGCAACTGTTGGGAGTTGATATCTCTGCAGAACTGTGCCTTGTCCTTCCAAATCTCTGCTGTGAATGATCCCTATACATGTTCCACACTGCTCAAGTATGCATGAGGCTGTTTCCAAACCTATGTCGTAGTTGGGCAGAGAAGAGCTTATGAGAGTTAAAAAACACACAGCTACTCCTGAACCCTCAGAACTCTGCACGTGGTAGTCACATACACTATGAAGAAAATCATCTGCTCTGTGGTTTCTTTGACTACTAAGGGACTTCCGAATTGTTCCACATGATTCTCACAAGCCTGGGGGCAGCCCCAGGTTTCACACCAAACCCTTGGGTCTCTGACTGTTCATCAGTGTAATCTCCTCCCTCCATTACACTCAAGGTTACAGATAGCTTGTATTGATAAACCACCCAGGTTACCCGGGGTTGTCCTGGTTTCTGCCTGTTGTCCTGGTGTGATTTTGAACAACAACCCTTTTCACTCTTAAACACGTCCCAGTTTGGACTGATAAATTTCATGTAGTCACCATAAACTTGAATGCTCTGAGGCTCATGGTAGGAAGTCCAGTTTGGATTGATAAATTTCGTATAGTCACCTTAAACTTGAATGCTCTGAGGCTCACGGTAGGAAGCCCATGCTAACTCACTGCTTTTCATGTCGGTGGTTGGATCCCAAATTCAAGGATTTCTGGGATGAAAGCCAGAGGTGCTCAGAGTTGCTTTCTGAATAGATGGTGATAAAGAAAGGATGAAAGTACACCACAGAGCAGCCGCAACTCCCAGCCTTCCCTCTGGTTCTTCAGGAACCGCGTGGGGTGCTCGCTTGGCTACCCTGTGAGCCAGGGGGATCCTCTGCGTTTCACAGTGGGATGAAGCTGACCCTGGGTAACTGCTCTAGACATTTCCATTGGGTTTCACTGAGCAGGAGCCAGCAGCAGCTTCTCAAGTACCTACTAAGTCATAGTGGCAGCCCCGGTTTTGATGTGGAGTCTGTGTTAAGGAGTTTTGGTTGTCTGTGGCCTTTCTGAAATGAAGTCTTAGAAGCATATTTTTTCTTCTCTCCCAGTGATTCAACATCAGCAGCTTTGCTGGACGATAGCAGAGTCATGGACCACAAAAGTAGTGGTCCACACAAATGCTTTCTAAGAAGATCAAATATACATTCTATTTGTATTTTGTTTGTGTATTTTTTTTTCCATTGGAGTACAGGTACTAGGGGAATATTTGGATTTCTAAATCCATAATCCCAGACATTACAAAGCTGAAGCAGGAAGATCACAAGTTCAAAGCGTGTCTGGGCTACAGTGAAAAGGGATAGTCATACATAAAGATCATGCATAGGGTAGGCTGAGGGGCTCTTGGCTGGCCAGATCCTTGCCAGGGGTGGGGCGTGGAGAAGCTGTGCTGCCTTTGGAGGTCTCTGCCTTGTTTCTCAGCTGTCCTTCTCTCCTACTGGAAGCAAGGGGATTGTTTTAGGGCTCAGTTAAAGGTAGAAGGTAGAAAATAGAACTGTGAACCTTTTGAGAATGTCTACCCAGGAGTCCTTGTGTCAGTGACAGAAGTTATCATCTATGAATGTTCTCATTTTTACAGTTGGTGACAAAGTTCAATGATAAAGAATCAGGTAAAAAAAACAAAAAAAACAAACAACAAAAAAAACACTTTTCAAAAGTTTTCCCCAAATGGTCATACCTCTTACAAGCTCAGAACTTGAGCAAAGTGCTCCCTTTAGTAGTCAAAGCCTTCACGACTGCCTGGACGGGCTGCCTTGTTCTGCTTTACAGGCAAGGCTTCATTCAGGCCCTACCATCAAATGGTGTCCTTGGCTATTGTTTGAGAAAGGAGAGATGCTGTCCATACTCCCATCAACAGAGCTGTTTACCAACCTACTCTGAGCCTTTGTATGAATTAGGGAAAGGTACCTTTCCCTCTGCACAGACGTAGACCTGCCCCAGACTCACCATTTGGTAAGTGGAGCAGGGAGCTGAACTTCATCATGTGTTGCTTTATCTTGGTGTTTTTGTGCATGTGGGCACTGCACACCCAGACACAGCAGTCCTGCTCCTAATGTGGGTTTCTCTTATCTGGAAATGTTATCTTTGGAGGGCATGCCCCTTTATCTGGATCTGATGCCATCTCTGGTCAGTCATGCAACTCAGAATGGACCAGTGAGTCCTGTTCTCCTTATGGGCTTTGTGGTACCTTGCAAAGGATTTGTCTTGAAGGTAGGGTTGGAGAAGACTTTGATTTGGAAGGTATTTGGACTAAAGAACACAAACAATGGGTCATTTATATTGCTTTCCTTAATGTACCAAGAAACTTGTTAGGAAACAGACTTGCCAGTCCATGATGACCTGCACGGCTGTATTTAGGCAATGATGTTCTTCTGGCCACTTGTTTCTTCAACCTGATGCAAGCCCCAGAAGGTGAAGATGGTGGGGCATGGAGTCAGTGATGCTCTCGAGCATTTTGGTGGATTGCTTCCCCTTTCACCAGCTTGCCATCACTTGTAGCACAGGGTTTCCTTCCTTCCTTCCTTCCTTCCTTCCCCTTCCTTCCTTCCTTCCTTCCTTCCTTCCTTCTTTCCTTCCCCCCCCCCAATATTCTTTCCTCTGTCCCTTCTCCTTCCCCCCAACCCCTTGTTACTGAGATTGTGCTGGGCAGTTTCTGTCAACTTGACACAAACCAGAGAGTCATCTGGGAAGATGGAACCTGTGGCCGTGTCTATGAGCAGTTTCTTAATTGTTAATTGATATAAGAGGACCCAGCCCACTGTGGACAGTGCCACCCTTGGCAGGTGGGCTTAGGCTGTATAAGAAATGTAGCTGAAGCCAGGTGTGGTGGCGCATGCCTTTAATCCCAGCACTTGGCAGAGGCAGGTGGATCTCTGTGAGTTCCAGGCCACCCTGGTCTACATAGCGAGTTCCAAGCCAACTGGGGCTACAGGGTCTGTACAGGGCTACAGTTGTCAAAAAGACACCCCCCCCCCAAAAGAAAAAGAGAAATGTAGCTGAGCGAGCCGGGGGAGCAAGCCAGTAAGCAGCATTCCTCTATGGTCTCTGCTTCAGTTCCTGCCTCTAGGCTCCTGCCTTGAGTTCCTGACCTGACTTCCCTCGTTGTTAGACCTGAGGGTTGTGAGCTGAATAAACCCTTTCCTCCTCAAGTTATTTTTGATCAATGTTATATCACAACAATAGAAAGCTAACTAGGACAGACATCTACCAACTAGCTTTGCCTATCTTGAAGAGAGAAAGCTGAAACTTGAGCAAAATGCTCCCTTTAGTAGTCAGTCTTCACATCTGCCTGGACAGACTGCCTTACTTTGTGTTGTCTCCAGTAACCTTTGTCAAAGCTGGAGGCTGGCTTTTCTAAGAATTTGAGCTGATATGTCCTACCAAATGAGGATCTACATAGAGAATTGTGGCTGTTTCCCTCAGGGTAGAGGATGGAAGAGCATCTTCCCCGTGTCATTCCCTTCCCAGTCACTCAAGAAGCACTGTGGTTTATACTGTGCAGGTCTCTCAAACCCCAGGAAAGGTACATAGAAGAGACTTCCAAGCTCATCATCCTCCAACCGTTCATTAGCCAGATCACTACAGAACTGTAGATTTTATATACTATACATAAGAAGCAGTTGATGATCACAGACATAAGAGCTCACTTCACCAGTCTACGGCTCCCAATGCTCCAAACAGGAAATGTCTCAAATGTAAATACAAAGTCATTATCAAAGTTCTAGAAGGGGGGCTGGGCATGGTGGTGGATGCCTTTAATACCAGCACTGGGGAGGTAGGTGCAGGCTGATATCTGAGTTCTAGGCCAGCCTGGTCTACATAGTGAGATAACAAAACAAACAAGAGCAACATTCTAGAGGGGTTTGTGCCGCTCTGGTCCTGTTGCAGCTCGTTTCTCACACTTGGGCCATTCCCCTCCCCCATGTTTTCTCTGCAGAAGATTTAATCTATGGAACTAAGGGACCATTTTACATCCTAGGTGCCCAAACTAATCCTGAATAATCATCCTAAATGGTTATCCAAGGTCCATCCCAGGCTTGGTTTCTTACTCAAACCTCCCAGGTTCTGATGAGGGAGGCTGTAGTCTTCCTAGACAGTGATGTCCTTAGGTGTGTTTTAGAGACTCTGCCTCCACAAACCTGATCCTCCCCCTTCCCCCTTCCCCCTTTTCCTCCCTCTTTCCTCTGTATCATCCTCTCTTCCTTCTGTAATTGGGGTCTCACTATAATGGCACAGCAGGGTGCAAGACTAAGATTCAGAGAATCCTACAGGAAGAGCAAAGCTATTTGGTTATAGAATATATAAAATCCAGAATGGTTATTGGGAATCTTGCCGATGGGCAGCTGGCTAGACATGGGTGGAAGGGATCTTGTTAATTCATTATACAGAAAATGAAAACAACATCTTGAATTAACAAAGCCTGGCTTGTCTGATATTTTTATTAATAGGTAATAGAGTATCTACTTGCCTCAAGAGATACAGAGTTTTAAATAAATAAATATCAGATGAAGCAAGACTTGGTGAAGTTATGTAACGGTGCCCTCCTAAGTCTTTTCCCCACCCCTGGCATGGTGCCAGTTCCCAACGTTTAGGGGGACGGGGTTTTGTGAGTATGTCTCTGCCATGTACTAACCCTGGTCTTTTCCCTCTCTACCAGTACACCTCTAAGTTACTGTCTTGCAAGGTGACTTCTGAGGTACTTTTCAACCTGCCTGTCATGTCTCATGCATGCTGGACCCTCATGCATGCTGTCGTGGTTTGCTGTTTCCTGCTGTGTTCGCTGAGAATGGCAAGAAAAATGCCTTCTCTCCCTGTGTATTTTCTTCCTGACCTTTCTGAGCTGCGGGGACTGACTCAAAATGCTGGAGTCGATACAACTGTGAATGTTGTGCAGTGCTGTGCTGTGCTGTGTTGGGAGGTGGGGTTGGAAAAGATCTTGCCCACCCACGGATCTGGCAGATGTTTGAACTAGAGGGCACAACTGGCAAGATGTTTAGATCCCCTCGATTTCTTTAAGTACTAGTAGCAAATATACTCTGGGTTACTTAAAAAGCAATGCCATTCATGCAAGCCAAGCTCTTATTCTGACCAGTCCTCTGTTAATCTTAGCCTAATCTCAGAGAGTTCCCAACCTATGGATTCAGGATGAGTTATTTCAAGTGCAAACTATCCCAGTCCCTGTAGTTTTGTTTTGGAAGCTTAGCTAAGCATTGGTCTTTCCCCAAATCTCCATCTACCCCCATAACTTTCTTTTATACAGATTTCACAAATATGTGTGCTATACAAATGCGATATTGGTGTTGCTGGAGAGATGACTTAGTGGTTAAGAGCACTTGCTCTTGCAGAGGAACAGACTTTGGTTCCCCAGCACCCATGTTAGGCAGCTCACAGGGATCCGATGTCCTCACCTGGCCTCCATGGGCACCTGCACACAGGTGCACATATATACAAGCACGTACATACACACACAAATATATTTTTAAACTTTAAAAAAATGCAGTATTAGGATACACATATACCCCCCCCCACACACACACGCACGCGCACACACACATATAGTTGTGCTAGGGATCAAATTCAGGGCCTCATATATGCCGGGGAACTGCTGTCTGTCCTGAGCTACGTAGCATCTACCGTTTTGTCTTTTCTGCTTTTCTCCCTCTTCCTTCCTTCCTTTCTTTTTCTTCTTTCTTTTCTTTGTTATGAGAAAACACATTATTTTTGTGTTTTTATTTCTATAGTATTGCATTTTTATTTCAAAATAATTCTTTCAAATACACAGAATTGTAGAGAGAATGGTTTATTCACTCAGTTAATATAATTTATTGAGGGTCTACTATGCATCAGGCACTATACTGGACTCCAAGGCAGGAGCAGTCGCCAGAAAAGGCTCTCAGTATCACAGAGCAGGCTCTAAGGCTCCCATCAGCTTAACGGAATAAGATAACAAAACCTACCCCTGTGACTGTGCCCATTCTCGTAATCTCATAGTATTGGCTAGATTTTTTTAAAGAAATTAATGTTGCAAATCCAAGTCAAGCCCTCTCGTTACTTCTCCCAGTTCCCAGTGTTCTCTGTTACTCTTTTTATCTCCTGAGAGGTAACTATTCTTGACCTTGGCATTCATTTTCATGCATGTTTTTATACTATGTATGTATATATGTGAACAATGTTTCATGTCTTTGCATGTTTTAAACTTTCTATACACGGTAAGTCATACTGCAGTCTCTTCTCCTTACGGTACTCCATTGTTTTTAGATGTTTCATGTTGGTATTTGTGGTTCTAGAACAGTCATTAGAACTGCTGCACAGTATTCTGGATATGCCATTATTTATTCACTTTCCCTGTTGATGGAAATAAGTGTAGATTAAGTTGCTTCCAATTTTTGTTGTTGTCATTACAAACAATGCTTTCGTGAATTATTTTGTTTTTGTTTTGTGGTGCTGGGATTGAATCCAAGGCCTCTTGCATGCTAGGCAAGCACCAGTGAATGTTACTGCATGTCTTTCTATACATCTGTGGAACAATTTCTCTGAATATACTCGCCTACGACTGAGGATCTTGTTCAACCTCATGTTTTCTAGCTCTTGCAGATTATTCCTCAAATTGATTATCAACCTACAGTATCATATGTATTTTTGGATATAGCTCACTATTAACAAAAGAATTAGAACTGTAGATAGGATTGTTGGTTGCTGATGGGTTTGTCTGTAATATTTAAAATGAATGTTGAGAATACCATTCCATGAACTTTCCTCATCATCTGACTGTGATTCCCATCTGGAGAGTAGCACTCTGAGAATCAGGCCCTGATCCCATATCATCACTGAGTCATGATGGCTTAGAACAGGGAAGATCCAGTCAACGGTATTCAAGGAAAGCAGAATTGGGCCCAGCTTATCTTCAGTTGAAGAGACAATAGAGGAAAACACATTAGCATTAATATTCCTGGAGTAGCTCATGGTTTAACTCATTTGACTTTCATTTCCTATCCCTATTTGACTGACACTTAAAGTTTAGCAAACTGACTTGAAATCCCAAAGCAGTAGAGAGACAAATAAGGAGCTGGAGAGAAGGCTCAGTGGTTAACAGCACTGACTGCTCTTGCAGAGGACCCGGGTCCGAATCCCAGCACCCATATGACAGCTACAAACCGTCTATAACTCCAGTTCCAGGGGATCTGACGCTCTCTTCTGATGTCCACTGGCATTGCACTACATGGGTACACTTACATATAAGCAAGCAGTACACTCATACACATAAAAATAAAAACAAGAAATAAAATCTTACAAAAGAAGGACAATTAGTATAAGAGATTATTCAAAGAGAATGGATTTTCCTGTCTTCCACCAGACCTGAGTTTCAATGAATTTATGAAAATAATAAGAAAACTTTAAATCAGGAATCAGGTCATGATATATATATTTCTCCTCTACCCATACCCATGGCTTGATGGCCTCAAGCATTGGCTTTGGACCTGGAGAGTTGAGCCCAAATCTTGGCTTTTCCTTTTACTTACCAGGAAATGCTGGGAAAGTTGTTTAACCTCTCTGTGCTTTAATCTCCTCATAGGTAAAATGCTAGTAATAATGGCGTGACTCCTATAGAACAGTCCTGAGAATTAAAACAGTAACTGGCTCATAATACTTGTGATTGAACATGTGCTCTGACTAGAGTCCCAGAGTCTTGCCCTTTTAGCCCAGAAAACACATTAAAAAGTGAGGCTAGTATACAATAAGAGAAGTATTAAGAGCTCTGAATATACTCGCTATTTAGACATGTACATGCAATCTGAATTAATTATGGAACAAGAGCTTATTCATACTTTCCCTGAGGGCTTGGTTTTTGAGTCTTCCCAAAGCTTACTATAGGATGGTTTTATCCAAGACAGCCCTGAATCATAAGCCTTAGGAGCTTAAGGACAGCTTTATACTGAGGTTTCCAGCTCTTTCAATTCATTCTCTTCTCTGTGCCATAACTGGGGAATTTAGATTTTACCGGAAACTTGGGATCAGTTAAGAAGCCATACAACTGAGGGGGGAATGAATTAAGAGCTCATTATTGTATATATTTATTTGAACTCTTGACCAGTAGATGTTCAAATCCAAGTTATGCTAAATGTTTCTATGATGATAATATTATTTTCCTGTCCAATGTACTTTTTGTGACTGTGCTTCATAAGATTATGTTTATATTCCACTTCGTAGTTTGTAAGCCTTTCATCCTTCTCCGTCAGAACGTCCTTCACACTTTGAGCTGTCTTTTCCTCATGCCAGCTCTATGCTGTAGCTTTTATTATGTCCATTTGACACAGGGATACCAAGGAGTGTGTGGCTTACCTAAGGTCACATGGTCACTAGGATTCAAAACCCAGAACCTCCTGGGACTTCAGAGTCCATACTGCCTCCTCAGAAAGACTGTGAACTTAGGGATAGTTCAGTTTCCAGTCTACTGGTAAAGAAACTCGAAATACAAGATGAATGAGGGCCAAAACCGAAAGTTGGACTCGGGCATTAGGGGCTCAGTCCTACCATTTCTCGGGCATTAGGGGCTCAGTCCTACCATTTCTCAGTCCCGTGCTATTACACATTGGCCAGAAAACTCTCCTGTTCAGCTACCAGATTTGAAGCATGCTTTCTTCTAATTTGTCAACTTGGATATTAAGTAACCATGGTATGCTTAGATAGGGTTCTTTGTGACATGGCTCTTGTGCTTAACAGCATACCTTATGTAAATAAAGGTGATTGACTGCAACCTACACGTCAGGTCCAGCCTTCCCTGTTGGGAGACATGGGCAAGGCCTCCCAGACGGAAGCACATGTAAACTCTGGGTGTCTCATTTGTTTGACACAGTAAAGAAGGAGACTGAGATGGAGCCCAGATCTTTAGTCTACCCAGGATGTGTTTCCACCTGGCATCTCCCTACTTCTCTGGAGTTGCCAACATTTCTGCCCCTTGCCAAACGATCACTTTTAGAATAAGCAAAGCCTTCATTACAGTTTGGAAAACAAGACTTTTCTTTAAAGTCAGAAACTCTGCATCCCAAGTTGATGTCAGAGCAGTAGGCACACATGAGCCTGCTTTTGCTGCAGTGGTATGACGAGGAACTGTTCTCCACGTGCTGGGTACCTAATGGCTTCCATCTGGATTCCATCTTATCCAAGCCAATGCTGGAACAGTTGGCTGCAGTCTCCTCTCCAGAACCCATAGATTATTCTAGTTAGCAGGAGGAAAGAAGGGCCTACCTCCAGAGGTGTGAACCTACTTGGCCTTGATTTGTCTCCTTTAATTTCATTTACTCTTAGTACACATGACCTTGAAGCTGAGCAGGATGCTGACCTGAAAGCTTTTTTCCCCTCATCTCATGGCCATTTGTGTTTAATTATGTTTGTGCCAAAGTACATTGCTGTGATATGAATGTTACGTAGGCCTGCAGTCTTGATGGGTGGAATCCACATTGGCCTGTAGTTACTCATCCTTCCAGATATTTGTTTATGAGGAAGCTAAGAGGATCATAGTTCTGCTTCCCAGAGTCATATTCATTAGCCCCATGGGGCTATTTAAGTTAAAATTCAGTAAGGTTTGTAATTTCTTAGCTGTATGACTTTATTTCAAGAACCTAGTAACCATACGCGGACAGTGGCTGACACATTGGATGGTTACAGATACCGAATTGTTTCAGTACTGCAGCGTAGCGCAGTACTGGATAGCTTGTAGAGATCAGCTTTACTGCAAACTCCAGTCTGAAATACAGCTGTAGCTCAATGGTAGAGTGCTTGCCTAGCACGCTCAAGGCCCTGAGTTCAATCTCTAGCATTGCAAAAACAAAAACAGAAAAACCTGATGTTAGGACCAAGTCTAGATTAAAGAAACTTACAAACACATTGCAAAAATAAGATTTTTCACATTGGAAACCAGGAGTCAAATAGTAAGTGGTTTTGGCTTTGAAATGAAATCATATCCAGCACCTTCCATTCCCCTTTTCTCTAGTCCCCTCTCTCTCATCACCCACGCCCTGCAGCACCAGATTCTTGTTACCTTCATCTCATTCAGATGCCATTGGGGAGGAAATAGAGTGGAGGAAATTTGTGCACATAATTAACATCCATGAGCACTGCCTTGATTTCCTCTTCTCTTTTCAGGTCCTAGAGGCCACACGGGTTAACAGAAGAAAGAGCGCTCTGGCCTTGCGCTGGGAGGCAGGGATCTATGCCAACCAGGAGGAAGAGGACCATGAATAGACTTCCTTCAACCGAGGAAACTCCTTTGGTGCTTGGGGTAACCAAGAAACCAAGAAATTATCAAATCAGAAGCATTTTAATAGACTATTGATTAAAGTGCACACAAACTCAGCAGTCCTCATGCAGACCAGATGCTGCCGTACCTAACGATGAAAAACAAAGCGAAGAGGAAGTCCACCCATCAGATTCCGAGACCTGGGAGTCAGAGCAAAGAGGATTTCTCTATGACTCAAAGAAACCCCTGCTTTTGATCATTCTACAACTGACCCAATGGGACACAGACATGACGAGTGAATCAACATAGTAGCTGCAGGTGGAACTGAAACCAGCCTTCGCCGAATGATGGAGAGGAACAAGGGTGACGAAGCCACCTGGAGACAACAGGGCTGGCGCCATCGACGGGGCATAGGTTATCCCTCCGCACCAGCTTCCCACCCGTCTGGCCTTCAGCATCAGAAGTGTTGAGATGACGCCATGTTCTCCAGCAGCCGTAAAACAAATGGTGTTTCTCTCCGTAATTGTCCAAAGGGGCAATGATGACTCAATTTCTCTTACATGTAATAATTTTTAATTGGGAACAATTAATGGTTGCAATACATAAAATCCATATTTTTAAGACAATATCTCTTCATGTTGCAGATGCAATCAATTCTACAGTAGGAGTGTGAGGACGGTGGGGAAGGAGCCAAACCAAATGGGTTATTTTAGCTTTAGGGTCTTGTCTGCTTATATTGTTGACTGATCTGCAGTTTAGGAGAACACATTTTCACAGTTATGTTTCTTCATATGAAAACTATATTTAGTGGGCAATGACTATTTTTATGATGGGATGGGCAAATAGGAACATGGATAAAATCTGTACACACTGAACAGCTTGGTTCAAGATGGCAGAGGTATTTTTAGAATGGCAATAATTGAAGAAAGGGGGTAAACTCTGCCTTAGAAAAGTAGATGACCAGAAAAAAAAGGCATTTATAACTATTTTGTATTTTAAAGCGAGCCTTAGAAGTAGGGGGACCTGGGTTGGATTGTTTTAGATCTCTGAGAAAGGCAACATTAAAGTCATGGAAGTAGAGCTAGAGAGGGAAGGAGAAAGAGCAGGAAAATAAGGAAGAGAAATTATTGTTGCTGAGCAACCAGTGTTTTTCAGGATGATAAAGAGAAAAGTATAGAATAGAAATTTAAGTACAGGCTTGGAAACAGCTACAAACCCTAAAGATGGTGAATGTGTGCACTTGTATAAAGAATGTGTGTTCAACAGTAAGGGTGTGTGTGTGTGTGTGTGTGTGTGTGCGCGCGTACATCGTCCTGTGTTTGTAAGAGTGTAGTGTGTTCATGAGGAAAGGTATGTGTGTGTGTGTGTGTGTGTGTGTGTGTGAATGTGCACACAGGTGCATTAAAATTCCAGGTCGATCATGACATGTGGGTGTACAGTATTTCCTCCATGGCTGTCTGCCAGCTTCAGGAGTAAGTGACAATTTTCTTTTTTATGAAAAGGGATATAAAGGCACATGGCTGATGCAGTATTTGTAATATTGAACTGACCTAACGTGGTATTTTCATGAGTCACAATTGCAAAGTTTTGAGCAGTTTTGTATTAATAATTTGACATTTAGGAGTGTTTCCTATTTATTCTCATGCTTTATGTACTATAGAAGATGCCAGCTTTACTCTGTCTGTCATTTAAAGCAATATGATAAGGGCATTCACTAATCAGGTGCCCTAGATTTCTGGATGAGAAAATGTATAATTTCCAACCATGAAAAGAAGGAGGAAGAGGAGGAAGAGGAGGAGAGGAGGAAAGGAGGAGAGGAGGAGGAAGAGGAAGAAGAAACTACTAACCAGCCTTTATTATTTTTCCTTTATTTTAAAACTATTTTTAAAGCAATAATTAAATCAGACCTTGCTAACATGTTTTTGTTTTCATGCTGTTATGTCATAAACTCTAATGTTATTCTAGTAAGTAGCCAGTCCACAAAAATTGTATGTCGGGTTCTATACATCCTTTGCTCTTTTTATTAGACTAAGTGTTGACATGGGGGGGGGCTTATTCACAGATAGGTGGTGGGCACAAAGTAAAAAGATAGAATTATCTAATGATTTATAAGGATCTTTAAAAAAACTGCCAAGTGGACCTATAATTTGAAGCCAAATTCTGCAAATTGCACATAGGAAGTGTGCACCATCTTGGATGAAATGTTAGAAAACAAAAAAGATAGCCCTTGGGGACACAAAATAAATAAGATCCCTGCTGCACAAAATTCATTTTATAGAAGGGGAGGCTGATAGAGGTCCCACCAGGTAGAATGGAAGCACCAGGGAAAGACTGTCTTTAAGGATTTCCAGCTGGAAGTCCCAGATGCCTGAACTGAGTACCCAGTGATTAGGGTATTCATTCCCAAGAGAGAGCCACAGGAATAGGGACAAGAGGTGGGGGTGGCAGCTGCAGCGCCCTGTGGCCCTGGGCACAGTGCTAGTTAGGATGGCTAGAGAGCAGGGTACTTCTTTGAGTTGCATGAAGAAGAAAAGGTGCTTAATGCTTTCTGGATGAACTGTGGATCTGCTAGAGACCATGGACTCGCTGCAGACTAATTTAGCTCATGTTTCACTAGAAGAAACCATACTTGTGACAAGTTTTTTTTGTTGTTTGGATGGGAATCTTGAATCTATATGAAAGCTACACTTAGGAAAGTCAGCAACCAGAAAGAAATCTTAGGAGGCCACACAATTCCTGGAATCACTTTGGAGGCAGAGGAAGTAGTCTTTTGACTATAGTAGATAGAATGAGGAGTTTTAACTCCAAAAACCCAGCAGAGTTACAAAGTTGGGGTCCTCTGGGCCACTCTCCATTTGCAATTAGGAGACACCCAGTTTCCGTGACTTTCCTCTGGTCACATAGCTCTTTCTGACTTTTGCTAGTTTCCTTAAACTGCTTTCTGATGACTGCTGTCTGTGCCCTTACTCTCCCATACACTCCTGTCATAGTCTAGTAAGATGGCAATCACAGTTCCTTTGGGAGAGCCAGTTTTCTCTGCACCTTTGAGTTTTGTTGTGTTTTGTTTTCTACTCATTCAACAAACTTTTGACCCCCTGCTTTGGCCACAGCACTGTGCTAGATTTTAGCATCCTGTGCCATCCCGTTACTTTCCCAGCACAAAGCAGATCCCTGGATGAAAGTCTTTTCTTGCCTCTCATCCCCAAGGTAAAGAGGATCCTGACCAGTGTCACCTCTGAGGCTCAGCCCCACCCCAGAACACCACGGACCAAGCTTGTTAATCTCAACTCTAAGAAATGTTTAGCTTCTGTAGATCTTGCAAAACTTCCTGAAGGTATTCCATGCTGCGGTGACAGGTAACACTTTCCTCCCCAGCGGATGACGGACACTGCTTGGCGTTCTCATCCAGAAATTAGGGAAACAGGGTCTGTCAGTGGCAGGCGGCCAGGCTGGGTCCCACTTGGATGACACAATGCAGTTTCCTCACCCGTGCATGCGGCCCACCCTAGGCAACGACATAGACGAAGTATATTAACCCGTGTCCACATATATATCTACACACAAACACACACATATATGTAATAGAACAAGGAACACTAAAACAGTGTTGACTCTTGTCTTTAAAGACATTTTTTTCCAACTGAAGAATGGACTTAAACTATGTATTGAAAAAAAAAATAGCTTAAGTGTTAGAGATGATGAATATATCCAGTTTTAGTTACAGAGCCAATTTTCTGAAGTTTAAGCATTCAGTGAGCTGCCAAGTTTGATTTTGCGTTGCTCTTTACCCAAGTGAGTTTTCTTTTTCAATTGAAGGAAAGTGGGGAGAGCAATACTGTGTTCGAAAATGATGCTCTGTATCTGCTTTCCTGTGTTATGTTAACCACTTCACTGTTACTATCCTGCTTTCATTTTATAGTGATTGTGAGGCATTCGATGCAAGTATACAGTTATTTTCTCATTAAAATTCAATGTGTGTGTGTGATTTTTTTAAGAAACAAAACCCAAAACAGGGCTATCTGACTGTGGTGGGAGGGGAGGTTGGGAGAGTGGTTGGCCAACTGTGCAGGCCAGGACAGCACCCTCGGGCTTGCCACTTGCTTCCTTACATGCAAGACATAAGAAGCAATTATAGGGACTGGAGAGATGGCACAGCAGTTAAGAACACTGGTTGTTCTTGCAGAAGACCCAGGTTCGAATCCCAGCACCCACATGGCAACTAACAACTGTTCATAACTCCAGTTCCAGAGGATCCGACAGCCTCTTCTGACCTCCGCGGGCATTGCACAACATGAGTGCACTTTACCCACATGCAGGCAATACACGCATACACATAAAAGAAAAATAATTTTTTTTAAAAAGAAGCAATTGTAGATAGAACTAAGTCCCTTCCATGGCCCTATTTCCAATTTTTATTACGTTCCCAGTATCTGTAGCTGACTCCTATGAAGGACAGTAAAGTTCAGACTTTAAAGAGCTTAGAAAGGGCCCAGGTTCTTCAGGAAACTCCCCTTAACAGTCTCTGGTTATTCCATCTCCTAGCCCGGCCCCTGCCTATACTTACTGGCTCCTGTTCCTCCCCAGCCCTGCCCCTTCCATGTACTTTCCAGCCCCCTCTTTTCATTCTCTCCCCACTTGGGACTCCAGTCTTTCTATCCTTAGAATTTCCAGCCAGATCTCCTTAGTCTGAGTATCTGGGGATTTCCTATGGTACCTTGTCATAGATGGCATCTTCCAAACTTTATGTTGACAGTTCCTAATTTGAGTGGGAAATTGGGCTGGGAATATGGTAAGTGGTCCTTGCTTAGCATGTGTAAGTTCCTGGATTCAAACCTCACTCAGCATTGCTAAAATCAAACACAAGCTGGGCCTAGTGGCACACACCTGTAATCCCAGCACTCAAGAGACAGAGGCAGGAAGCGCCCTATAAACTTGAGGCAGCCTGGTCTATATAGCAAGTTCTAAGCTAGCCAGGGTTACATAGAATCTATTTCAAAAGAGAAAAAAAAAAAACCAAAAAACCAAGGTTCACAAACCATGCATGGTAACAACCACTCTAATCCCAGTTCTTTGGAAGTAGAGGCCAGGAGGATCATGAGTTCAAGGCCAGCCACACAAATTTGAGATTAACCCGAGCATCTGAGACTGTACCTCAAAATGAAAATGAAACAAGCATTAATTTTTTTAAATGGGGAACTGGCTCTTGACTTACATGCTGCAGATACAGTGGCCCTGGGGTGCTTTCAATACTGGGAACTTTTGTGTTTTTTTCCCAGGACATCAGTTCCCCATCTACATGTCTTGGTGAAGCAGCTTTGACTTGCTATGAGATTCTTCAGTGAAATGCCTCTGGTGACAGCAGATTAGGAAGAAAATAAGAGGGAAGATATGAAGTACACTGTTATGTTCCGATTTTAATTTCAGGGCAAGATAAAAGTTTCTGTTTTTCCAATGACCAGTTTTTTGTTTTGTTTTGTTTTTTTTCTTTTTGTCTTTTTGAGACAGGGTCTCCCTGTAGCCCAGCTGTCCTGGAACTCACTATGTAGACCAGAGTGGCCTTGAACTCACAGAGATCCACCTGCCTCTGCCTCCCAAGTGCTGGGATTAAAGGCACGCCCGACCTATAATTTCAGTTTTGAAGCTGAGCTCCAAGACTAAATCCTGGTGCAATTTCTTTCAGGTCTTGTCTTTTGCAATAATACGGTGAATATTTTTCAATTACTATAATTTTGGTTAGGAAGAAAGCCCAGTCATTGTGCGATAAGAACCTGCATGCGGGCAGACTGATCAATAACAATTATAGCATGAGGAAGTAATGATTTTCATTCCTGAGACTCAGGGACTGAAAAGCATCTGTGGGTGATTAAGATCAAATGTGGAGCCAGGCATGGTGATGCAGACCTGTAATCACTGCTGCTCTGGAGGCTGATGTAGTAGGGTCACAGATTCAAGGCCAGCCTAGGCAACTTAGTGAGACTGTCTCAAAATAAAAAATGAACAGAGGGGCTGGAGCGATGGCTCAGCAGTTAAGAGCACTGGCTGGGATTTAGTTCCCGGCACCCACATGGCAGCTCACAACCATTCATCACTCCAGGTCCAGAGGATCCAGTGCCCTCTTCTGGCCTCTGCAGGCATTACACACTTGTGGTGCACTGATATTACAAGCAGACAAAATAAAAGCAGTACAAAATAAAAATAAGCTACATCTCTGTAAGTTATAGAGTGTTTGCCTAGCACGGGAGGCCCTTCATTGATAATGGGAAGGATGAGTTCTGTTCTTTCAGTTGACTTTTGATGCCTCTGTTTAATAAAGTATGAAATGTGGCCACTGGGTGGCAGTAGTCCCTAAAGTAAAAGCAGTTCCTCACCAGACGCTTTCTTTGGCGGTAGACAGAAATTCCCAGAACTCTGCAATTAAAAATCACTTTGTGGGGCCGGGTATGGGGGCACATGCCTTTAATCCCAGCACTTGGGAGGCAGAGGCAGGAAGATCTCTGTGTGATAGAGGTCAGCCTGGTCTACATAGTGAGTTCCAGGCCAGCTGGGGCTACCTGGTCCTGGTAAATCTGTCTCAAACAAACAAAAAACTGCTTTGTAGCCAGATGTGCTGATTCATGTCTATAATCCCAATAATTACTTCAGAGGCAGAGGGGCAGGAGAATTGCCACAAGTTCAAGGCCAGTCTGGTCTATGTAGTGAGCTTCAGGTCATCATGGACTACATAGAGCGATGCTGTTTGAAGAAACAAAACAAAGGCCTAAGAGATGGCCCAGTGGTTAAAAGCTCTTACTGCTCTTGCAGAGGACCTGAGTTCGGTTCTCAGCACCCATGTCAGGTGGCTCACAACTCTTAACTCCAGCTCTTGGGAATCTGACACCTTTCTGTGGCCTCCATGTGTGTGCATACACACACGCACACACACACATACACACACACACACACACACACACACAGCATACACATAAAAATCTCTAAAACAAAAGGAATTAAAACAAACCAACGTGATTTCCTTTGGGTCTCATGTGGCACTTATATTTCAGTGGTTGGATGACAGGCAGCACCTGCATGCTTCCACCACTGTTCTTCCCTGCTAGCTCTGTAGGAGGCTCTGTGCTGAGTACCTCACATGGATGACGATGTCAGTCAACTCTTACAACATTCCTTAAGGCACATACTACCGTCTCTGTGTTACAAATGAAGAGACTTGCATTGAGAATCTGTGTAACTTGCTCCAGGTGATGATCGGTCATGAAAGGAGGGGTTCAAGTCAGGCCATCTGGGACTACCTCACCTCCTACAATTTCCTTCTCAAGTCAGTTCACTAGCTCACTAACCTCTTGTCCAGGCAGGCTCTGCTTTTACTGAGATTAGCGAAACCTGTCTTCAGCACAGGACAGCACCAAGCAGGGAGCTGGAGCTTTTGAGAGAAGGGAAGGGGACTGCAGATCTTGAAGGGATGGGGATATGTGTGGTGTGCTGACAGTGTCATCCTCAAGAGTCAACGCACTAACATCCTACCTCTTTCCAGCTGCTTCCCCCAAAGCGCACAGGCCTGTGGTCTGTGTTTTAAGTTGCCACAGACTCTTACTGTGTTAGGAAAATGATCTTGCCTGTCATAAAAATAAGTTCAGGCTGTCAACTTAGACTGTCTGTTTTCCTTGCCTCCTACTACACACACACACACACACACACACACACACACACACACACTTTACAAAATCACCTCAGTACAACTCACCCTTTTGTATTGAATGATTAATAAAGAGAACCAATCAATAATTCACTGCCTGAAAAAGAATCACTTGAATACTTGATCTCACGAATCGCTCATAGGAGAGTATCATTGGCATGATTCATGGGGGCTCATGAAGGACTGAGTCCCACAGGGACAAACACACACAGGTAACATATAAACTATGCTCAGCTGTTCCCTGCCCATGGTCCCCATGTCTCATTTCTCAGAGCCTCTCAAGGTGGCTTCCCGTCCTTGCATTCATCTCTCTTGCTATTACAAGCCTTGTAGACTGACCAAGAAAGATCCCTGGGAGTTTGTCTGGGTAATCTCAGTTGGTCTAGATTAAACTTGTGCTTATTTCCAGAGCTACTTGGAGCTATGCAATGTATTAACTAAAGATAGCCAGTGCTCTTTAACCAGGGATTCAGGAGAAGTTTGGGAAGGGATGTACTAGCCTATCTGTAATATTTACGATCAGGCTTACGTTTTGAATCTGGTTTTGGTGGAGCCTGGGCTTTTTCATATTTAAGGCTGTCCACCTAGCTGGAAGGCAGGAAATCAGCTCATTTTCAGAAATCTCCACCACAGGTAGATCTTGGGTGCCTAGAGATCAGGTACTTTGTATGCACTGGTGGTGGTCTTGAGACCTGGAAATAAAGTATATCTTTGTGACTTGGTGATGTAGAGACAGTTGTTGTCCTAAAAGCTTTGCCTGTAATACAGTTGTCTGGGTAGAAACATTGTGAGTCCTTCTGTGATAGAGCATTTCAAATAGTCTGCGTATATCTTCACATAGTGCAGTCATTTCATGCACCTAAACAATTAGCTTGCTGGGTATGCTTGGTCCTTGGTCATCCGTCTGGTTAAGTGGAAATACACAGGCCCATTAAGAGGGGAATGATTAAGGATCTTGAATACAGCCCTCTAGACTCTATAAACATTGCAAAACTCCAAGTACCGTCTCGATCTGCTTGTGAGATGTAAAAGCACAAAGCTTACTCTGGGCAGACAGAAGGAAGTGAGGACAGGGCAGGTTGGGGCAAGGCTGAGTTAGTTACCTTCTGGCATTGGATTCTTCCTTTTCTGTTTCATCATCAGTAGATGATCCAGTTCTGTCAGAGCTGACATCAAAGTCCAGGAGAAGAAGGCTAAAGAGTAAGAAAGTGGAGGAATTTGGTACAAGGGGTTTGGATGAAGGCCTAGTGTTTTAAATAGGTCCATGGTTTCAGGAGCATGG